CTGTCTAGTTATTTATGCCTGGAAAGCTTCCTTCTCTTAATATCAGCTGTTACTTTTGACTGAAATGTTCAATGTCTGTCACCTGAGTTATACTTACCTCTGACAAGAAATTTAATATATCTACCAACCTAGAGATCATTAGTGACTAAGGCCTTTCTTAGTCTGTTCTACCATTAATGACTGGTAACCTTTTCTTCTATTTTCTAAGTTTTCATGAACAAGAACCCTTATCACTTGAATCATTATTTGTGATTGACACTTTTGTCACCATATCATAATTTATTACTGGAGTCCTTCTTTCTCTATCACCTGACTTATTCATTGTGACTGGGGGCTTTGTTTTTGAATGTCACCTGAGTTATCATTAACTTAGGGTTGAAATTTAATTTTTCTAATGTATAAATTTTCTTTTATGATTGGAAATCTTTATCATCTGAATTTTTGTGTCTGAAAACCATTTTTCTCTTATCACCTGAGTTATCATTTTTGGCCAGATAACATACTTTTCTATTGCTTGAATTGTAACTTGGATTTCACACTTAGGCATCAGCTAAGTCATCACTGGTCAGACTGCAAGCCTACTACATCACATGAGTTGCCTTCACAACAAAATCTTTCTTTATAATCTGAACTCCCAGTTATGACTTCTCTTTTTAATTGGTAGAGTTATCATTTTTACTGAAAAGCCATTCTTCATCACTGGAGTAATAACTATGAACAGAAAACTTCATCATGTCATCACCACTGATAACTAAAAATCTTTCTTCAAACACCCAAGTTATTGCTTATAACTGCAACCCTTGCTCCCCTTATCAGAATTCTTTTTTCAACCAAAACTGTCCTTTTCAGCCATCTTCATGACTGAAGAATTTTTGTATTCTTATCATCCAGACAGCTTCTTAGTCACTCTATTGTTCTATTGCTGTGAAGAGACACCATGACCAAGGCAACTCTTATAAAAGAAAACATTTAATTGGGGGCTTGCTTACCGTTTCAAAGGCTTAGTCCATTATTATTATGGCAGGGAGCATGGTGGCATGCAGGCAGGTGCTGAAGCAGTAGCTTAGAGCTGTATCTTGATCCATAGGCAGAGAAAGAGAGCAACACCAGGTCTGGCATGGGCTCTTGAAACCTCAAAGCCCACCCCCGGTGATACACCTCCTCCAACAAGGCCATACCTCCTAGTCCTTGTAATCCTTTCAAACAGTTCCCCTCTCTGGTGACAAAGCATCAAAATATATAAGCCTATGGAGGCCATTCTCATTCAAACCACCACACACAGTTGACAATAAAACTTTCCTGGCCACCTGAGTTATTAATGATGGAAACCTTTCTTGGTTACTTGAGTTATCATATATCACTGGCATTATCACTTGTGATTGGTTGTTGTCACTGTTGTGTGATTTATCACCTGTTACTTCAAGCTCTTTTCTGTTGTAAGAATTAAGGCTGAAAACCTTTTGTGGCTCACCTTACTATTTTTTTGTTTGTTTCATTTTATTTTGAAAACCTTTTATTAGACAAGCTGCCGTTTCAGGAGTTATTTCCTATGGCAGATAGTATTGTTATTTTTGGGGAGTTAGCATAGTAAGTATTGGATTTCATCATGGCATCTTATTACATATGTTTTCTTATACTTTGTTCTCAGTTATTCTCACCTACTAATCTACTTCCTTCTCCTTCCCTCTCCAGTTGATTCTGTCTTCTTGAATTAGTCTCCCTCTACTTTCTGATTACATGGAATCCATTATCCTCTCTATTTATCTTCTTTAATATATCTTCCTCCCCCTCTTATAATCCCCTTCTTAATTCTGTAACCTACAAACACATATATGAATACATGCATATATGTACATATATATAATTTTATTTGGGTTCCATATATGAGAGAGAAACACAGTATTTATCTTTTTGAAATTTGCTTTTTCCCTTAACATGATGGTTTCTAGTTATATCCATTTTTCTGTAAATGTCATGTTTCATTTTTCTTGATGGCTGCGTAAAATTCCATTGTGTATATATACCATGTTCTCTTTATTCATCTGTTATAAATGACTATACTGGTTCTATTTTTTGGTTGCTGTGAATGTATATAGATGTGCAGCTATCTCTATGGTGCATTGATTTAGTTGTATACCCAAGACTGATCTAGTTGGGTCACATGGTTGCTCGGGGAATGTCTTTCTGTACACTGCGAATATGTGTTGCTCTGATTGGTAGATAAATAAAGCTGTTTGGCCTATGGCAAGGCAGCTTAGAGGCAGGCAGAACATTTAAAAGAGACAGAAAAAGGCAGGGAGAGACGCCAGTGAGCTGCCCAAGGAGCAACATGTATGAGACGCAGGTAAAGCCATGGAACATGTGGTGATATATAGACTAATAGTCATGGGCTAATTTAAGATACAAGAGCTAGCTAACAAAAGGCTTGAGCCATGACTATACAGTTATAACTAATACAAGCCTCTGTGTTTACTTGGGGGACACAAGTGGGAGAGATTTGTCCCGACTACTGGCTGGCCAAGACACAGGAAATCATCTGGCAACACATGGTAGTTCTGCTTTCAGTTTTTTAATGAGCTTCCATACTGATTATCATAGTAGATGCACAGTTTAATTCCAACTAGTAGTGAATGAAGATCTCCTTCCCCTATATCTTGCTGGCATTTTCCATCTAGTTTTCTTGATGATAGCCATTCTGACTGCAGATTAAACTCAGATACTTGGTTCAGCCTCACCTGGGGTATGATCACAGAACCTGGGCTTCAGGATATTCCATAGCCCTGACACTCACATCCCTAGGATCTGATACAAACCCTTTGTGGTTCTCTGCTGACCCTCACTAGAAAACGGCCTCTGAAGGAGTTCCCATTGGCCACCCAGAGAAGACTGCAGACTCGGGACTATCCTAGGGTGGTTGCAGCAGGTGCCACCAGTAACTTTGAGGTATCCTGTCAGCTGATGATACTCTTAATGGCCAGCCTGTGATCCACACTTCATGTGGGCAACAGACCTAGCTTTGGTTCCAAAATGCTATTCCCTCCCCTTCCTCCTGGCTGCTGCATGTACTCTTTCATTCTGCCAACACAAGCACTCATTTACTAGGGAGCCAGAGTGGCGGCTGGCTTCTTGTGGGACAGAAACTATCCAAAGTTGGTTTAACTGCTAGTGAGTCCTTCTAACATAATGTTATTTTACATTGATTTGTTAGTTTTTTAAAAAATATGTTTAAACCAGCAACCTTCTGAGACATCTTAAATTTTCATTCTGCTAATAGCCCCCTGTGAACTACATAATTCATATTCATATACTTAAACAATGGTTCTCAACCTGTGGTTCATGACCCCATTGGAGGTGGAACAACCCTTTCACAGGGTCGCATATCAGATATCCTGCATATCAGGTTTACATTACAATCATGACAGTAGCAAAATTATAGTTATAAAGTAGCAACGAAAATAACTTTAGGGTTGGGGTCACCACAACATGAGGAACTGTATTAAAGGGTCACATAGCATTAGCAAGGCTGAGAACCACTGGCTTAGAAGAAGCTTTGCCTAGGGCTGGAGAGTGCTGGCTAATATCAGTGATGTCTAAAAATGGATGTGCACTTTAAGACTATTTAGAACTCTGGAGTGTGAACTTCTGAAGGCTTCAGTGTCCAGAGGGAATGGAGCACATTCACCTACACATGCATTTACCTATAGACATAGTCTTGGGTGGCTTGAGACCCAAATGACCAAGCCAAACATAAAGTGAATTCATTAGAGCTTCCCTGAAGCATAGGAACTTTCATAAGGAAATGGAGCCCTGAAAGCACAGTTAGTGGAACACCCATGTGCCAAATCAGACCAGAAGGAGGCTTGAGAGAGGCCGAAAGAAGATAAGTGATTTTAACACAATGGGTTGGTCCTTGTTGATTAAAAAAACAACAGCAACAACAAAATGCTTGCCTCTGTTTCTGGCATTTCTTCCCATGGAATTTCATGGTTCTTAGAATGGGACATAGAGAAGTAACACTATTACAGCTGTCATTTCTGAGTGCCTTGAACTCAACATGGTCCACATCCAGAGTACTATCTTTTTGGGTGCATGGTCTTTGATAGAATTCCTAGGCACTCCCCCATGGCTGTGCATGCGCTGGCAAGACACTTAGTCATCCCAGGGCTTACATCCTGTGTAATCTGTGCGCTGCGTGATCATGTAATTTATGTGCATGCATGGCATAGCTACATAAACCCATGCACATGTGCAGGGGGAACCTGTAAAAAAGCAGGTTCCATCTATCCCTCCCCTCTTTCCCTTCACTATCTTTCCATAGGGATAAGCACATCCCTTCTGTTCCCCTTCCCCTAGTAAACTCTTATAGTGGGTTTTGTTGTACCTCATGGCCTTTCTCGCATGGTAAACAGCCCTGCTTAATGAATAAACAGCAGTGCATAGTAAATAACGTCTTAGCTCCTTCACATTGTGTCATGAGAGAGAGAAGGCTGCCTGACCCCACACAGGAGGCTGCTGCTTCTCAGAACAAACAGCAAGCCATTGTCAACCATTAGGACACCACCCGGGTCTGGGGGGAGGGTGTGGACCTCAGGAACTGGCTCTTTTCCCAGAGAGGAAAACAGCAGCAAAGCAAATGGTCCAACTCTTCCTTTTACAGCAGATCACTCATACTGATGCAAAACACAGCTTTCATCTGAAAGGGAATAAGAGTTAATTCTTGTGCCAAGTAAGAGTGACTATGACCCAAGAACATGAAATCCTCACACACACACACACACACCCAAAAAAACCATGTACCACTGTGGATACAATTTCACCAAGTTTTTATGCTTATAGAATTTTTTTTAAGTCATAAATCAAGGTCTTTTTCAAATACATTGGTGGAAACATCAGGTAGGACAGGTTAACAAAGTAATGAAGTCTGCTATAGGTCTCACATGTTATCTGATGACATTCTTAGCTTTCAGGTTGGTAGAAGCTAGTGACCTGTTAAGATACTACATTTCAAAAGATTTTACTTAATAGTCACAAAGATATTATGTCAGACAGCAGTGGACAATGAGGGGCTGTAAAGGAGACTAAAGAGTACCCAGAGTAATTTTGCTTTAGACCAGTGGTTCTCAACCTCCCTACTACAGTTCCTCACATTCTGTGAGCCACAACATAAAATTATTTTTGTTGCTACTTTATAGCTACAGTTTTGCTACTGTTATGAATAGTAATGTAAATATCTGATATTCAGGATATCTAATATGCTACCCATGTGAAAGGGTACCTTGACACCCCCTAAGGGGTCACAACCCACAGGTTGAGAACCACTGCTCTAGATCTTCAATATTTCAACTTTCCACAATCACAAATTCTAAATTGGTCATTCTTGTACAATATTGAATGTAGTAGGTATGGCTCTTTTCTGGGAACTTCAAATCACACTCAGTTTGGATTTAGGCCACATCCCATCAAGAGGGTCTTTTCCACAGGGGACTTTTGAGGTCTCTTTGGGAGGGCAGCCGAGTGCAGTAAGGGGCAATGATCTGCCAGCCATTTGTTTTCATTTCTGATGGACTCAGCATAGACCAGAGTCTCTTGGGCATCGTGTTTCTGTAGCTGGGTTTGTAGTGAGGTGGTGTGTGTGAAATAGCACTACCATCATGTTCACTCTGGTCCTGTGTCCTGAGTCCATAGTGTACACCTTGTGTTTCAGCCACCTTCCCCTCTTTGGAGTGGAAGGATAGCTGAACTATAAGAATGTGACAGCCACATACCTGCGTTGTTGAGCACGTGTAGCATTTGCACACGGTGGCTGCTTAGGTCTGCATGAGTGAGGCCTTGTCTCCATGTGCTCAGCCTTGTTATCTGCATCCCAGGCAGATCTAAGAATGAATAGTGATAATCAGACAACAACAACAGGACAGTGCTTACCATCTACCCATCCTCCCTAGCCGCTCTGGCTGGCTGAGAGGAATCCATCTCCACCAATGAGGAACACAGCTCAGGTGACTCTTGACTTTAGTTGAACAGAACTCAGGTCTTCTGTGTCAAGGAGATTCAGAGCCACATGAGCACCAACAGAAAGGCAATTCCTGGACCTAACACTGACTCAGGGCAAGGCTCTATTTTTTGCTGAGAGAAATGCTTTCTTGTATTTCACTTTGAGAGAACAACTGCCAAGTATTCTGGCTAGTTTTTGTTTGGCTCAAATTTTAGAGTGAAAATGAAACACAACCTATTACTGAACTTGGCCTAGCAAATGGAGAAACTGAATGTGCCACATCCTGCAAAGGGAGAAGGGACTTCTAACAAGAAACCAGCCACAAGTAGCAGGGCTGTCTCCATTCTTTCTGGAACCATACTATTGCTATTCTTTTGTATATATTCACTCTATCCCACTCCAGAGAGGAAGAGCTCATTGTCAAGAAGAGAGTTCAACTGCTGGAACTTGAACTTCCAGGCAATAAATGACAAACTGTCAGTTTTAAATGATCAAAAGCTTTAAGCTTACATTGTAAATAACTACCAGTCAGGCCCTTCAGCTCCTATTTGTGGGGATTGAAATTGATACCTGTTGACAGAGCTGAGTACTTTAGTCATCGGGGTCCTCAGCAAGTGTCCAGACACTCTGCTACAGACAGCGGTGTTGGGAACCTCTCAGTCCCCAGTGAGGCCTGCATCTGACCATGAGAAGAACACTACTTTATCTGGCCCTCCAAAGTCTTGCTGACTCCTTTCCCTTTACCTGAGGTGTGTTGCATCCAAATAATGGAACAATGGCTGATCTCTGACCTCACAGGTGACCTGAGGGAGGTTCTCCAGAATGTAGTGCAGCACATCAGGCCACCTGGGGCAGTGTGGTAGCCCTCATACTTGTCCCATTGTTTCCTATATAAACCCTATACATAGACTTCCCTGTTACTGTGACTCCATTCTACTAGTGGCAGTTGAAGCAGTGCTACAGCATCACACTGAAAGGGTGGTTGTACCGAGAAGGAGCCGTTCCAAGGCTAGAATAGGGCTTGAGGGACAGAACCACCACACCAGTATCCTCCAGGTCTTGGTAGTTCAAGCACAAAGATGCAAAAGGCAATAATCCCATTTAATACCAATGCTACCAATGCCTCTACTTGCTGGGAATTTTGAGCACCTGGGAAGCTATCTTGTCTCCTAACTTAGGGCAGAAGTGTCAAAAATCTCTCTGGAGGCCTTATGCTTGCCACGATTCTCAGGAATGGTCTTCAGCAGACTCAGGTTCTTACTTCTGATACAGCCAAGCAGTGGGGCTTACCACAAGTGCTGCCGTGTGGGAAGACTTCATGATCTGCCTTACTGATGACCTTTTTCTGCTTCCATGTTGGGACCTCACTTTCTCCAGTATATGTGAAAGTTACATATTTATTCATCCTTGTTCTTCAGTTGCTTTGGGTTCACACTTGAGACTGTTTCCTATCAGCTTCTCAATCCCTACATGACTGTATTTTTCACACAGGGTCTCTGCATGTCTGTGACTTTATCACCTCTGTATCTGAGCTGTGGAATAGTTTGTGTGGAGTTCGTGGTGAAGATGGGTCTGATCACCTGGTTCTGCTATCCATCTACATTCCTTTGCTACTGTGCTATTTTCTCTTGGACCTTGATCTCTGAAGCTTTCTTACCATGGTTGTGGTGAGGACCTTTGCCAGTCTTCTCAGTGAGCCATATGTCTAGTCAATCTAGTCTTATTTTTATTCTGAAAACTTGCTGATTATTAATTTTTATATATCCTGCTTTTCACTCATTTTTCTTTGCCCCTGGACCCTGTGTGGATATGATCATTGGTTTGGACCTTAGCCCCAAAGCTCTAGCCAGCCCCCTTCCATGACACTTGCCCCTCCTGGTACAACCTTCTCCTTCTTTAGAGATTTTTCCCATTGTGCACTTTACTGATGGAAAAGGAAGTTACCATATGCTAACTGCTCTGTAGTATAATAAACCCAATGTCCTAATGCCTAAATGTCCTGTCTGCCACTTCCCCTGGAATGTTGGTCTGATGACCCCCACCGAGCATTACACTCACTCATACCCATTTGTTAGCTTTACTCACATCACCTTCTGTACTTTTCTTCCCCCTCTCCCAGGATGCCTCATCTTCGTTCTCTGTCAACAGCGCCCTTTCAGGTCTTCCCGCATGATAGCTCTTACATTAGCCCCACTGCCTGGCTGTATCAGAATACCTTTGTGTTGTCCTCCTTAGAGTGTGTTCTGTTGTCTGCTGCCTAGTGCATGCTTGTGCCTCCTCCATTAAGTCAGCTGCCTCACAGCCAAGCCATGTCTCCATCTAGCTGGGTATTCTAGAACAGAGTCTTTCTCATCTGTCCTGGGAAGAGTCTTCTGTTGGGCCAGGGAGCTGTAGCTTCAGTTCATTTTGGGAGCCATTGGCTACCAGTCTCCCTCCTGTTTCTTTCTGAGGGCTCTGGTCCTGTCACTCTGTACTTTTCTCTTGTGCTCTGGGCTTCATTCCAGATGGTTTCTTCATGACTTCCTGCAGGTCTAAAGTTCTTGTGTCTAATATAATACTGAAACTCTCTGACTTAAGTTTCAATTATTGCTTAATTTCCTGGTTTTGCTTTTCAGGTTCAGCTTGCTTTTAACTACTTTCAAGTCTCTATTACATGTCTAAAAGCACATGGAGCCCATTTATTTTTTTACCTCCAACCCTGATGGACTCTGCTGCCTGTATCAACAAATAGTACCCTCTCCTGCTGTTTCTAAGGACTTCTATTGCAAGCTACTAAGTTTTCTTGAATCTCCTTATCTGGAAGGTCTTGAAAAGAGGCCTGTATGAGAGTATGGTACCCTATACAAAGGACTGATATTTTACTTCTTTTGGGAACCTGAGAACAATGTTAGCCTTGAACCACATTAAAGCAAACCCTTAGCCCATGGCATCATCAGGAAGGTGACTGTAAGGCTGCAAGCTCAGTTGGCCCATAGACTTGTCATGAATTCCAGGGGAGATACTCTCCTCAAGCTTATTTTTTAGTCCTTGGATTTGGTACCACTCTCTGACTGACCCTGAGTCCTTCTACTGTGACTAGCCTTGCTTTGGATGCATCTCCTATTGTCTTTCTCCTGGGATTCACCCTGAATCTCTAGAAAATAAACATTGCTGTTGCATCATTGGAGTAGCAAATTTCCCAGGGATAAGACAGGCTCTGGCCAGGCTTCACTTTCTTCAAGATGGGGAAGCAGAAGACACCATTCTTCACTGATTGACAATGTCTCTAGGAAGATACTGCCACAGCCACCCAACATGCTATGGCCTTAGGTGAGACCTAGACACTTTCTCTGCTCCCTGTGTCTGTGAATGTTTCTAAGTCTTAAGTCCATATTCTGAAGGTCTTCTGTGGCTGCCTCCCGGCTGATGCTAGTCCTGTCATCCTTCTCACAGAGGTGGTGCTCCTGAGTCTGTCACAATCCCCAGTGTGAAACAGGGAGGAGCCAGTGCAGACAGTCATATTGCTGTGAAAGGCCACTCCCCAAAATACAGGGTGCAGGGAGGGGCCTCCAGGATCTGCCCTGGACAGAAGGGGATGCTACTCTCAGACTCCTGATTTTAGGAGAGACCTTCAGAGTGTCTCATAGTAGGCCATGTGCAGGACTCCTCCCAGAAACCCTGCCCACATTTGCCTCTTCTTTTCTCTCCAGCTTCCTTCAGCCCTTTGCCCATTGCAGCAAACTTTAGTCTGGTGGATGTGAGAGCTTGTAGGGAGGAAGTGAAGTCCTGAGTGGATGTGTATTGCTGACATGAGCACAGCCATGTCAAGGACTCCAAAGCTTCAGACCCATGGCAGTGGCAGAGCTTCGCCAGGTGAGCCTCAGGGGCATGGCAAAGCCTTCTTCTGGTCCACATTCAAATGCTGACAGTGTATGCAGAAAGTGCCCACTATAGCCATCCCCCTGAAGACTGTGCCCCTACAGACTGCTCCTACAAAAATTAGCCCTGCCTCCCTGTTCAACTGTATACAAAACCCTGCTTCTTTGTTTATCTATATTCAATAGCCCTGCCTCCCTGTTTAACTATATATAATAACTGTGCTGAACTTCTGAGCTGCTGTGGCTTCTCCAAGGTCCCAAACCACCCCATCCCAGCTTTTCTGTATGTGTGTCTGTGTGTCTATCCTTTTTCTTCATTCTCTGGCCACCCTGAGTTTGGCTTCCAGGACACAAACCAGAGATAAAAGCTAGAAGTGAGGGTCTAGAAACAAATTAAATTCCTTAAAGTTGGGGGTCACTAGGCACCAAGATAAAATGGCCGAGTTTGGAACCTGTTTGAGACTAGAGACTGGAGTCTGAGCCAGATGGGATCTGAGCTGCTATGGTTCCTGTAAAGACCAGAAATTCTTGACCGCTGGGCTCATTTTGAAAAAGAAGTAATTTCTCCTTCATCATTTTTACACAACCTGAATCTGAGTTCCTGGGGCATGAGCGGTGCATCTGGGCAGATGTGGCACCGTCCTCAGTGCCTTTGCCTCCTCTCAATGTCTGGACAAAGCAGAAGACAATTTAGAACTCACATAGCCAAAAGTAAAGTTGTATATTTAACTGGGAATAAAGAAGTTGGCTAGTCCCTAAGCAGAAGGTCTGGGCTTTTCAGTAGTTACGGGGGTGGGGGGGTGGGGGGGTGGGGGTGGTACTTGGTGAAAGGCAAAGACAATGTAGTGGGGAGGTGTGGAGTCCACGAAGGGAATTTGTGCTCATCAGAAGTATCCCTTTTCTGGGATGAGCCACCTAAAAGAACGAGCACAGTCCTGCCCACGAAATGTTTAAGTGGAGTTTAGGGCCACTCAGCAGGCAAGTGGAGAGACCACCAGAGCTAGGGCTCTGAAGAACTGTCTGGAGCAAGTGAGCAGAGGCTCCAAGGACAGAGCCCGTTACAGACCCTGACACAGAGGTTGTGTGAAACACATGGCTGTTTCCTTGATCCTGGGCCTCTTCCTCCTCTGCCCTGACCTCTGTTTCCCTTCCCACATCCCCACTCTGCTCTTCTCACTGCTTCCCTCCTCTTCCTTCTCCTCAGGGTAGAAGACTCATCCCGAATGTGGTGGGCTGTACCATTTCATGGGCTGGGCCCTGGACCGAAATGAGTGGGCAAGTTCATAAGCATTCATGAATTAATTCCTTGCTCTCTGCTCTTGACTGCTTCAAGTTCCTTCTGTCTTGACTCCCCTGCAATACTGGACTAGAACCTAGAAATGTGAGCCAAATAAGTCTTTTCTCCCTTAAATTGCTTTTGTAAGGATATTTTACCACGGCCACAGGAATGAAACTAAGACATTCCCTGATCTCTGTTCCCTTTTTCCTGTTCTTCCCATTCCTCATCCTATAACTTCCTCCTAATCCCTACTTCCCTGGCTCTTCCCTCTTCTGATCACCTGACCCCCTCCTCCCCTGTTCTGTTTCCTCTTTTCCTGCTCATCCCACTCCTTGCTCCTCCTTTCCCACTCTCCCTCCTCCCCCTGATTCTCTACTCTCTCCTTCCCAGCTCCTGCTCCTCCTCTCCCTGTTCCCCACCTTCTCTGTAAGACTTGGCTGCTTTGTCATAAAGTCTCTCTCCTTGGGTGGAGAGATGGCCTAGTGGTGAGGACCACTTGTTGCCATTGCAGAAGGCCTGAGTTCAGTTTCCAGCACCCACATAGCATGTCACAACCATTTGTAATTTTGATTCCGAGAGCTAGGGTGCCTTTTCTGACCTCCACGGGCATCAGGCATTCACATGGTGCACAGACATACAAGTAGGCAAAACACTCATACACATAAAATCTAAAAATATATATTTTTAAATAAAGTTTCTCTCCTGATTGTTCCAGGGACATTACTGAGAACAGATAGCCTTTTACCTTCCAGGGCTTTATAAATGTGGGGATCCTGGTCCTTAAAGGCTGCACTAATGCATTTCTACTCAGAGGCAGGTCCCAAAGAGTCAAGTGCCAGACCCATCTTGTGAGCTTAGTAGCTAGGAAAGCAGGCTCCACAGCACTGGAGATCTTTCTACTCTTCTTTCATCACCAGGAGGAAAGGTTCTTCCTATGCAGCAATGCCAAGTGAGCTTAGTACGAGGCTGTCGACTCCATTGTCAGCGTCTGGGTGGGGACTGTTCCTTCTCAGATTGACAGTAGTATGGGGATGGTTGTGATAGCACTATCATCAATTGTAAAAGAGTGTGATCCTACAGAAATAAGAGACCACAACCCAGGGCAAGATGGAGAAAGAACAGTCACTGGCCAAGACTGGGGCTTACTCTTGGAACTGATCTTCAGATGCAACTGGCAAGAATTACCTCCTAGGGCTCTGGAGGCCAGCAGACAGCCCAGGACCCCCCTTTCTATTCCCAGTAGTCCAGCTCCATCCTTAGGGAGACAGCTGCCAGCTGCAATATCTTTTATCTGGGAAGCCAAATGGCATCCATGAGCCAGGCCCAATAGGAGGCTCCAAAAGTAGACCACTCTGGCCATGCCCCAGACTCACTTTATCAATGTCCCCATCTGAATTGCACAGCGAAAGGCTTTGCTAGAAAACCTGCATTAGACAGCCCGCCTGATCACATCATTTTTATTAAAACAACACGATCCAAGATCTGCATCCCTGGCCCAGATCACACCTGGCCACACTGAAGCCATCAGACATAGCTAAGAGGTCACCATGTCATCAGTTGACAAAGCAGCCTGGTAACTGATCCTAGCAGACAGGTGGGCTGCTTTCAGTACATGTAGTCTTGTTTTTTCCCTTTGTTGTCTTCAACAAGAGGCTGTTCTTGCAAAAGGAGGATGGACTACATTTTTATTCTTCATCAGGCAGCTTTAGGGCAGGAAATAAGGGAAGCTAGTAGAGTGAAGTCTCCCCCGATTAGCTGCAGTTACTGATCTGGGAAACTGTTTCAGAGATGGACAACTGTGAGTCAACACAGAACATTTTCCAAGTACTGTTCTTACTGGCCCAGGTGGATGGCTGCATGGGCCTTGGAGAACCATCTGAAGTGAGACTGTGTCTCCGAGATGTTTCTTGACTGGAAGGCAGACTGTGGTGTTGCTGCACAGTAGAAACTGCTTCGGTGGGAACAGACCCCTGTGTGCAATTATAAGGATTGCAAACCCCTTACTCCAAACAAATTCCACAGAAGGCCCTTGAGTCTGCATGGCCCTCAGACTTCAAGCAATCCTGTCCTTGATGTCATCACATGAGATGGTCATCCAACACAGAAAATTGCCCTTTCTTAAAAAGCTTCATCTCCCTCGAAGATGGTGGTTTTTAAAGGATATGGCATCCTGCGCATCATTACAAACACAGCTTAGGGTCCCTTTTGAGCGTGGAACGTGTTCTGGTCCTTATGACCCATACCTGGCTTTCAGAGACAGTGAAATGGGGTGTTTAGTGTATGGGTTATAGTCTCAGTGACGGAGCCTACATTGGAACCCTGTAATGTGTATAAGTGACATTTTCTTAGCCTGTGGAATGCATTCCCATCAAACTCACATTTCCACCTGAATTGGCCATGCCCATGATGTCCTCTGCAGCTTTAGAGGAATAGGTTCTGGCCACTGGGGCTATAGAAGTTCATCTATGGCAGCTAACCCCCAGGACTGTACCCCAGCCGGTGGCTGAAGGACATGGCATGTTGGGGGAGAACTTGGAGAGGCTTGGAGCAGGGGCTGGTTGGTAGGTGTAGCACATCCACAGCAAGGCTGAGTCCTGGGCAAGACAAGCCTGTGGGCCTCAGGATTATCCAGCTCTGCTGTCTGAGGAGTCGGGGGAGAGATTGCTCCCTTAAAGTGAGACCTATGGGTAAAAAGCATCCCAGGTTTAAGGGAGAAGATGTTAATACCTTCAGGAGCCATTTAGAATGACCTAGGTCAAAGCTGGATAGGCTCAAAAGATCAGATCACCTGATCCCTTTTTTCTTTACTCCCCTTCTCCCTTTTTTCTCTTGTGGTTTTTCAAGACAGGGTTTCTCTGTGTAGCCCTGGCTGTTCTGGAACTCACTCTGTAGACCAGGCTGGCCTCAAACTCAGAGATCTGCCTTTCTCTGTCACTGCCCAGCTATGATCTTTTTTTTTTTTCTACTGATGAGGAAGCTGAGACTCCAAGGAGCTTGGGGGACACTAAGGTCAAACAATCTGGGGTCTGGTATCCTCCATCCAACATCTCCGTCTGTGATCTTCCCTTGCTGGAGATCCTCCTCTCTACATAATTCTTGGTTGCCTTTAAGGTAATTTATTTATTTGAAATAGTTTTTAGTACTATCCTTTTCATTTCTAGACTTTACAGCTCATTTTAAGTCTTCCATGTTTTTCAAATCATTTAAAATATTTGGACCAGATACTCCAGCGGGTACTTATACCTACCACAGTCAGGGTTCCTTGGCTAGTGTGCTGATTGTCACCAAGAGTGGCCAAGCCAGGCTGGATCATCACTTCTCACTAAGAAACAGCTTATTCACATTCCCTAGTTTTCACTTTCTCACTTCAGCCCCTGTCCTGATCCCTTCGTGCCCCACAGTGATGGTAGGCCAGGCTGTCCTCATTTTGAGAAGTACTGTCCAGGTGTCTTCTACACTCGTTCTCCAGTATGGTTGTCTGATATTTGCACAGTTACACCATGATTGTGCACTTTAGAGGAGGAATACCACATCTGTATCTCACAGGAGGTAAAGGCATCCTCACAATGCCTGCCCTTGCTTCTCTCATGGTGAGGTGTTGCCTTCCACTGGCTCCTTTCAAGATCTTCTCTTTGTCTTTGTCTTCCAGCACTCTGAAAATGGCATTGCCATTTTCACTTTTGAAGTCCTTGTCTTGTGATTCAGCTAAATTGCTTTTATCAAGGCCTGATACAGTAGGGTTGCTGGCTTTGGAGGAGGTATATTTTCTTGGCTGTTCATATTGTGTTTTTGCACTGAGATATAGGTATCTGGAGTTATGATATTTAAAATGTTGTTTAGTGTGGATATTTGGTCATGTTTTGGTAGGGTGAATATTCCATTGCTGTTGCCTACTCAGGGTCTTAGAAAAGTGTGGTGGATGTAGGGTACCTGATAGTGAGTGATTCTGTGTGTCAGTGGAGATCACAAAGGATTAGAGATGAGCTAGAAGAAAAGGCTAAAAGAGGTAGTGGGAAAGAGCTAGGGGAACTCTTAGTCCACACCAAGGCACAGAATCCCTAGGGAATGGATGAGGAGCTCCTGTGGGTAAGCCACAGCAGAACTAAGAGTAAGTCTGGAGACAAGGACAGTGGTCTCTGGTAATTTGTTATCTGACCCTGGACTGATTCAGGGCACAGAAAATATTGGCTTGCACACACACATACATGCATATGCGCACCCATCACACAGCCCCCTTTGACACTACTCCACTGTCCCACGGGTAATGTGGTGTGACGCTGCCTGGTTTTTAAGTATTAGGAAATGTGGTTGTTATCTTTCTGTCGCCGACTTCCAGGTGAACTCAGACACAGCTGTCCGCTGTCAGTTTTGTGCATTGAGATTTTCCTATGACGCGAGACGTGATGTGCCTCAGGAACCTGCTTTCGGCAGTTGTGGCATGGAGTGTGCCACAAGTGCCAGTTGGTCCGGTTTGTTAATGATGTTCATTATTCTATGCACGCTGGGTGGCTTTGTTTTTACTGTTTCTACAAATTTTTGAGAATGTGGTATTGACATGTCATCCTAAAGTTGTGGCTTTGTCTATTTGTCTTTTCAGCTTATTCATTTTTGCCTCATGTGCTTTGAATCTCTCTTGCCTAGGATTATGTCTTCTTGCTGAATTTATTTTTCTTCCCTTTTTTTGTTAGTCACTATATAATATCTATCCTTATTTTTAGAAATTTTCTTTGTTCTGAAATCCATTTTGACTTTAATGTATTTGCTCTAGCATTTATATGATTTCCAGTATATACCTCTTCAATAATTTTAAATCTCCTCTATTGCTGTTATTTCAAGTCAGTTTTCTGATATAGCATGTATTGGGTAATTTTTAAAAATCAATTTTCAGCACTTCTGCTATGTGTGGTGGTATTGTGTTCCCCAAAATATTGTGTACTCTAATAAATTTATCTGGGGTCAGAGAACAGACAGCCACTAGATACAAAGGCTAG